AAAAATAGATGAATCACAAATAAAAATAAAGTCATCACTTGTTAAGACTTTGAGTGTTCCCCTAAAGTTCATGTGTTGAAATGTAACCTGTACTAAGAAGGATTAAATATGTTACGAAGATGGAAACTTAACCCAACTATGATGTGTAGAGGTTGCGTCTTTGGGAAGTGATTAGGATTAGGTAGAGGCATTGGAGTTGAAATACAATGACTGAATTCTGGTGGGTTTATGAGAGGTAGGGAGGGAGGAAGGAAGGAAGAGGAGGAGGAGGGAGGGAGGAAGGAAGGAAGGAAGGAGGAGGAGGGAGGGAGGAAGGAGGGGGAAAAAGGAAGGAAGGAAGGAAGGAAGGAAGGAAGGAAGGAAAGAAGGAAGGGGAGACTTTAGTGATGTCGTGTAGGCAAGAGGCCCAAAAGCCGGAAAGCTGCAGTCCTGCAATCCTTGCAGGTATCTAGAGGAGTGATCTTAAAAGATCAGCAAGTACAAAGTCCCTGAGTCTAGTGTGTTTCCCAGAGAGCAAGAATTTGTCATTTTTTGATCTCTTTTTCCTTTAGCTCTTGCAACCATCCAAAGCAGGACCTGCATGTGTTTGAAAAATTAAATACAAGGGAAATGTCCCTGCTGTGCCTGTGGGGGATGTTCTGAGTATTGCTGTCTGTCAGCAGCTGCTGTGAAAATGAGTTGTGTGTGAGATTGCAGGTGCTGAGAACAGGAGCACTGTAGCATCTCTGTGCTGCAGATTCTCTCCAGGCTGCTATCCTTGACCTTCACATGGGAAATGTGCAGACAGCTCTTTTTATGCCACTCAGCTCTTTGACCTGTGCACATTGTGTAAAGGGTCTCTTCATTATAAACTCACTGATTGCACCACAAACAGTACATTTGCTTTATTATTCATGCTAGCTCTTTCAGCCCTGTTTTGGTTCCCTGCTAAGGAATTTAATGCTCCTGGGTAGTTGTGGCAACTTTTCCCCCACTACCTCTCAGTCCATTGATTATGTCAGATGGGTATTAAATGATGCTGAGGGATTGATTTGGGGAGTTATAAAGGATGTGTCAACGAATTCAAAGTAGTAAGAAGCTTTGGTCATTAATCATTGTACTTTCTCAGTTCTGGAGTTGGAAGAGATTTTCCAGAGTCACAGAGATGGCAGTAGCTGTGTGTATTTGTCATTTTTATTATTGATGTGACCAAAGTAAATGAAATCAACATAGAGGCCAACCCATGGTTGCTTTGTCTCTTGTACTTGGACAGAACATCATGGCATTGGCTGCATGTTGCAGAGGAGGAACTCACATCATTACTGACAAGAAACAGAACAAGACAGGAAGGGGCTGGGGACAAGATATCCTGAGGACCAACCTCAGTGACATACTTTCTCCAACTAGGTCCCATTTCCTAAAGTTCCCAGAATACCCCTCCCACCAGTGTGGTGCTACCAGCTACATACCAAGTCCCCAACCCATGAGTGTTTTTTGGGCACCTCATATTCAAACCATAATACCATGTGTAATGATTAGTATTAACTGTCAACTTGACAGAATCTAGAATCACCTAGGAGACAAGCTTCCAAGGAAACCTGTAAGGGATTATTTAGCCTTTGGATATGCCAGTGAAGGATTCTTTTGATTAGGTTAATTAAGTAGGAAGATCTGTCCTAAAAGTGGGCAGCACCGTTTCTTGTGCTAGCATGCTGGACTGTATAAAAAGGAAAACGTGGGGCTGGCTCAGCAGTTAAGAACACTGGTTGTTCTTGCAGAAGACCCAGGTTTGAAACCCAGCACCCACATGGCAGCTAACAACGGCCCATAACTCCAGTCCTAGGGAATCTGATGGTCTCTTCTGACCTCCGCAGGCATTGCACGACACAGATGCACTTACCTACATGCGGGCAATACACGCATACATAAAATATAATAAATTTTTAAAAAAATTATAAAAAAAGGAAAATGTGAGCCGAGCATAAGCATTGCTTCCTGTTTGTGAGTATGATATGACCAGCTGCTTCAAGCTCCTGCTGCCTGACTTTCCCACTATGATGGATTTACTCTTAACTGCAGACCACAATAAACCCTTTCTTCCTTGCTTTTGTCAGGGTATCTTATCATATCATATCTTACCATAGCAACAGGAAAAGAAACTAAGATACCATATTAGACTGAAGTCCATCATGACCAGTACTTGAGTCCAGCTCCACGTGGATAGAAGAAATGTTAGGGAAAGCAACATGAGCATTTGCAGAGAGAGCGGTCTGGTGACCAGAGCAGGAATGCTAAATGGCTTGAGGGCATGGCTTCTACCACAGACAGCATGTGTGCATCATAGGGGGGTGGGATGAATTTACCTTGCAGATTAACTACTGCTTAATACAATACCGAAACCCATTTATCATGTACTCTCTGGCCTTCCAACTGAAGGTCTGATACCTGCTTACTATAAACTAAATTCCATAATGTTCCACTCAGTATCTTTTCCAAATCAAATTCAAGTAACTTAAACATAATGAGTGTTTCAAATAGACACAGATATATTTGAATATCCTTAATGAAAAATAGAAACCTTAAACTATAAGCAGTTGTGTAGCTAGTGTTTAATCTTCCTCTATTTCCATTTTGGAATAGTTTTCAGGCTCATTTACCATGCTGATTTGCAGAGCTTGCTTGAAGAACTCTGATACATAAAAGATTTTTTTGGTATTGAAATACCAGATAGGAGCTGGGGAAATGGCTCAGTGGATAAGATCTCTTTCTCTGCACACATGAGGACCTGAGTTTGAATCCTCATCATCCACATTAAAAAACAAAACAAAATGGGCAAAGCAAAGCTGTGCATGCCTGTACCCCTAGCACGAAGGGACAGAGACAGGTGGATTCCAAGAGCTCACTGGAAGCTTGTGGTTCAGTGAGAGAGACCCTATTCCAAGGTAGTAAGGCAGAGAGTAAGAAGACACCCACCATCCTGCTCTGGTCTCCGCGTGGGTACACACTCATGTGCAGCATTACACAAACACGCCAAGAAAAGGAGAAAAAAAAAAAAAAAAAAAAAAGTAGATGTTGTTTAGGAAAAAGTGATGGGGAGATAGGGGAGGAGTTAGAAGGGAGGGAGTAGGCGTGGACTTGATCAAAACACCTTATATGCATGAAGGAAAATTCTCAAATGTTTTTAAAAGTTAAAAGTAAAAAATCGTAAGCAAACATTAGCTGAGAAGGCAGTGTATTTGCATGAAAGTAAGTTGTCCTAATCCTTAAAGAATACATAAAACTGCATTTTAAAGATAATATAAAAATGTGTCTCTAGAGCCGGGCATGGTGGCGCATGCCTGTAGTCCCAGCACTTGGGAGGCAGAGGCAGCCGGATCTCTGTGAGTTCAAGGCCAGCCTGGTCTACATAGTGAGTTCCAGGACAGCTGGGGCTACAGGGAGACCCTGCTTCAAAAAGAAAAAAAAAAAAAAAGTGTCTCTAATTTGCTGTGTTTTTTCAGGCTATGGGTTCCAGGCTTGCTGGAGTTACCCAGAATGTAACCAATCTTGGGACAGGAATCATCATATCCTTAATCCATGGCTGGCAGCTAACGCTTGTACTCATAGCAATTGTACCGCTCATTGTATTAGGTGTCGCTGTTGAAATGAAAATGTTGTCTGGTCAAGCACTAAAAGACAAGAAAAAACTAGAGGTTTCTGGGAAGGTGAGTCAAATTAAGTGCAATTACTTACCTGGCAGAAAAAAAAAAATTCTTAGTGGTGGTATTTTGTTGCTTCCACTGCTAGCAGGGCTCTGAGAATGTTTTTACAATCGCTCTTCAAGACAACATTATTTTCTCACAAATTCAATTCTGAAGAAAAGTGGGAAACACATCCCGAGGCTCAGAGACTGCCACCTGCTTTTCATGGCTTTTCTGGTTTCAGGCCATTGTCGTCACATTTCCCTGTTCCTATCCAGTCCCCTCCCCTCCTTCCTGCCATCCTGCCACCTACCCACCTTCTCTGTTTTGCTTCTTTCTCTGAACCAAGTTTAGAGTCATTTCTGTATCAGGGAAGTAGGCCCATTTTATTATGCATGACTGGGAAGATTCAGTATGGAAAGTCACCAGTATTTGTCTCCATTTCAGACTATTGCTCGTTCTCCTTTGTCATGCCTCCTCCCTCCTTCCTGGGTCTGTATGCTTCCCCGATCCTGTTTGTTCTGAAAGCTCATCTGTTTTTTTCTCAGAATTAAATACTTATGCAGCATTTCCTGGCTTTCCTCCTTACAGTGACCCTGCAAGGTAGGTTCTGTTACTACTTCATTTTTTCAGGTGAGGCTGGGGCACAGGCAGGCAGTGCCCCCTGCCTTAGAGGCTGGTCACTCCTGAAGCCAGAATTGAAACTCGGATGATGGTGTTCCTATTAGCTAGAAATCCAAGAGGTGAAGCATAATCAGATATCACATGATCTCTACAGAAGTGAGAGGTCAGAGCAGGGCTGATCCCCAAATGGGCCTAATGTTTCCTAGGGATATATCTACTGATGGACAGTCCAAATTCTCAAGACTTAAAATCTGGACCTATGCAGGTAAAAGTGGTTTGGGTTCCAAATAGATTGAGTGTATTTATGGCTCTTTGTCTTTGAAGCATGCTCTTCACTGACAAGAATGATTAGGAAAGTCTGGAGGTTAGTTGTCACCACAGACACTGTCCTTTGCCAGGCTGCATGTCCCCAGGTTCCTTACCCCACTTTCCTGGAATTTCTTTGGGGAAATCTTTATGATCAGCTTTTTAAACTATTGTTTCTGAAATGAGACTTCTTAGGCAGTATCTGTGCAAACTGTCAGTGTGGTGATGCCATCCCCACTCGGGTGTTCTATCACAATTAGCTGTAGTCCCAGAAGGAGGAAAATTCCTGTGCTGGCAACTTCAATTAACAATATACTTTTTGGAGCTGGGCATGGTGGTGCACGCCTTTAATTCCAGCATTTGGGAGGCAAAGGCAGATGGATCTTTGTGAGTTCCAGGCCAGCCTGGTCTACATAGTCAATTCCAGGCTAGCTAAGGCTAGAGGGAGACACTGTCTCAAAAAGACAAAAACAAAATACAAACAAAAAAACCCAAAAAACCAACAATACACTTTTTGGGTTTCTATTGTGATGACCCTTCATATAGAGAAAACATGGAAACATCTAAAATGATGTATAAAACAAGGGAAGCATTACCATTTCATAGTATGATTATTTAATGATATGCCTGAAGTGTCATGAGACATGTCTTAGAATGTTGATAGGAAGATGTCCTATCCTAAGATCACTGCAAACTGAAGGTTAACACCTTTGTAACCAGACATTGTACATGAGACTCTTGAGTTCTTTCAGTGTAAAGGATGGTATATTTTCTTGTCTTGTCTTTTTTTTTTTTTTTTTTTTTTTTTTTAAAAAAGGTCTTCCTGTAGCCCCAGCTGTCTTGGAACTCATTATGTAGACCAGGCTGGCCTTGAACTCAGAGAGATCTGCCCGCCTCTGCCTCCCAAGTGCTGGGATTAAAGGCATGCGTCACGACACCTGGTGACATGGTAGATTTTCAGAGTAATGGTCAGGCATGTTGGTGTAATTCAGCATGGCTCCTCAGTGGGACAAAGGTGCATAGAGGCCACATCAGCCATTCCACTTAATATTAAAAGTCAACCTCATCGGATAGAATTCTCAGGTTACCATTATTATTTATTAACTACCATCATCCTGTGAGCTCTACATATATTCTTCCATTAAATGCTCTTAGTAACTGTGCAGAATTATCCCTGTTGGACAGATAATAAAGCATGTTTAGAGAGATCCTATATCTCACCCAGAGTCACAAGGCAACAGACTTCTAACTGATCTATTCCTTCCAGTCTTGGCCATTTGTAGTCTGTATTCTTCTCACAAAACCCACTCTCCTACTTCTTATCTATTAGATAAAAATTAGATCGTGCTAACCCTTTAATCTTAGAGTCTTCCAATGGCTTCTAACAATGGTTACAAATAATCCAAGCTTTTCTTCTGGTTGCAGAACCCTGCATGGTAACTCCTGATAACTCTGTCTTTGTCTTACCCTCCACTGTCCATTCTCACAATGTTGTGGCTGCCAGGAGCTTTTTGCAATTCCTAGCACACTCCAGTCTGGTTCCCTCCGACCTGATGCTGTCTCTTTTCGCTGGTAATGTCTCAGAATTATTATATTCTCAGAGCCCTTTCCCAGTCCCAGAACACATGCCTCTTCTCAGTCTTTGAATTTTCTGTCTTGTTTCTTCATTTATCAATTAATAGTATATCTTTCTTGCTAGAACAAGAATCCCCCGAGGGACAAGAATTTCCAATGATTCACCCTTTAAGGAACAGAGCAAGCTTGAGATCTCTAAGCAGGTCTGTGTAATTTCACAGAATGCTTATATCCAAATGTGTGATATCAGGGTCTGCTAATATCCCAACCATATGAGCACTCATATTCTGACAGTATGATGTTACAGCTTGTTCATGTTCTCTGTGTTTGACAACAGAGCCTCACTCAACGTTGTGTGATGTCAGGGTCCTGCTCATCCTGCCTGTGAAATCAGTACCTGCTCATTACAGTCTCTGTGATGTCAGGATGTGCTCATAGCCCCTAAAGCTTGTACTTGGTAGTGCTCAATCGTATTATTGTGAACTAATGAACATTTCTGGAAAATAGATGCATTTTTCTTTTCAACAATGAAAGCCTTAATCAAACTTGATTTTTTTTTTTTAGGGCAGGAAGAGAAAAGTAAAGAGGTTGATTTTTTTTTTCCTTTTAAAAAACACATTTTTTTAAGGCCTGCCTGGGAAACAGTGAGTTCAAAGTCAGTCTGGGTAGCCTGGTGAGATCCTGTCTCAAAGTAAGTAAAAAAAATGCTGGGTGTGGTGGCACAAACCTTTTATCCCAGCACTCAGGAAGCAGAGGCAGGTGGAACTCTGTGAGTTCAAGGCCAACCTGGTCTACATAGTGAGTTCCAAGCTAGCTGGGGCTACAGGGAGACCCTGTCTCAAAAAGATTAAAAAAAAAAAAAAGGAAACACACTTTTCTTTCTCTAAAATTATTCAGTAAATGATACTTTCTGAAGGACACAATATATTTGTTACTTCTTGAACTAAGAGGGCCCTTCCCTTTCAATGCTGACTGAGTCTTGTGACTGATGCTCTAAGGATACAAGCTTCTAATTAAGGCTTTCCCTAATTGCTTCTTTGTGCCTCAAGATGAAGAGATCACACTGTAAAGTGACACGTTATTTTACTGACTGTGCAAAGTCTGAGACTCAAACTCCCATTTTTATCAGCTATATAAACACTGAAAAAATATGACATTTACAAGCTAAACACAGTCAAAAACATCCTTACCTTAGAAAATGATACAGAGAAAATCTTTCAAACATTACATTGAAGTTGACTATAAATCTTCCTTTTCAGTACACATGCTGTAATTTAGTGAATGTTCTTACTAACCCATAAAACCTATTTGTTTGAACCCTTCTAATTTAAAATATTTCTAATGTGTGTGAACAAGGATTGCCTGGGCGAATTTTTTCCTCTAACATCTTATTTTCTTTTACTTTCAGGATTTTCAAAAACGAATATATATATACATATATATATATATGGAGTGTGTGAATGTGCAGCTACAGTCATGTGTATGGGTGCTGGTGTGTGGTATATATTTGGTGTGTGCATGCATGTGTGTGTGTGTGCGTGTGTGTAATTGCACGTGTGGGTGTGGGTGCATGTGCACATGTGTGTATAAGCATGAGGTCAGGAGTCAGTTTCTATTTTCTTTCCTCAAAACCATTCACCTTGGCTTTTGAGACAGGATCTCCTACTAGGACCTAGGGCTTGTGATTAGGCTTGGCTGGCTGGCCAGCAAGGCCCATGGATGTATCTGTATTCATCACCCTAGGGCTCAGATTACCAGCACATACCACCACAACCAGGGTTTTTTTTTTTTAATGTGGGTTCTGGGGATCAAACTCAGGTTCTCATGCTTGCATGGCAAAACTTTACTCACTGAGCCCTAAAGTGGGTACATTTTTAAATATGTGAAATAATTTAAGCCTGTATATTTTCCTGTATTTCTAAGATTATCTTGCTTAAGGTTGGCATAACTTGATCTTCTTGGCTTCTGTCAGAGAATAATTTTTAATTTTAGGTTAGTGTGTGTGTGTGTGTGTGTGTGTGTGTGTGTGTATGTGTGTGTGTGTGTGTTCTGAACAATCCAGAGAATGACCTATGACAGCCACACTTTCAGATAGGAGTGAGTTTATTAATCATGTAGCAAATGAAAGTAAAAGAACAAATAGCAAGTAGCAGATAGATAGAAACAGCAGGTAGCAAAGCATCATCAAATCAGGCACCCACAGCATCCAGCAGAGACAAGTAGAGTAGGCTGATGGAGAGAGCAAAGGTAATAGCAAAGCAGGTACTCATAGCACCCAGCAGAGATGACTGGAGTAGCCTGATTGAGAGAGCAAAAGTAACAGCAAATCAGGACTTACAACATTCAGCAGAAATCAGCTGAAGAAGAAACAGTCATTCTGGAGTTTCCAATTGAGAATCTCTCCATGGATGAGCTTCCAACTTCCATTGCCACCATGAGATAACAATGTTGGAAATGCCTTCCAGCTGTTCTCAAGGACATCATGTTTTTAATATGTTGATCTGCTTGCTGGTTTTCCC